TCAGACGGGATAATTCCACTCTTCCATCCCATAGAAAAGCAAATTTTGGAGAATGGTTCCAATTGATCTGTGCTATCCATCAAAAACGGGATGTTGGGTGGTGAATGAATTTTGGTTTTTCCTGCAGGTTGGGGCAGGGGGTGTTTCTTGGTGCTTTGCCCAAGGAATTGTGCAGAACAGCACAGGTCAGGTGAACAGCTGGGGCCTTTCCTCAGGGTCTGTGCACTTGGAAAAGTGGTCAAAAATTGCAAATTAGAGACAGAGAGCGTGGGATACTATTATTATTATTATCATTATTATTATTATTATTATTATTATTAGTCATATCAATAATAATGGTTGTATAAATATTATTATTATTGTTATTGTTACTCATACCAATAATAATGGTCATATAAATAATAATATTGATATTATTATTTATAATCATTATAAATAATAATTATAATAATATAATATATCATTATTACACATTATAATATTATAATTATCATATAATATATAATTATATAATAATATAATATTGTATAATAATAATTATAATAACTATATAAAATATTATCAAATAATAATAGGGTATATTATTATTATTATTATTACTAATAATAAGGGTAGTACAAAATAATAATAATAATAATAATATTAATATTTATAATTACTATATATAATTATTATAATATTATATAATGTTATATATAATATAATATAATATAATATAATATAATATAATATAATATAATATAATATAATAATATTATTATAATGATAGAAAATAATTATATATACAAATAATAATAGTTGTTATTATTATTATTATTATTATTCATACTAATAATAATGGTAGCACAAAATAATAATGATATTAATATTTATAATTACTATATATAATAATTATAATATTATATTATATTATATTCGTATTATAATTATAGAAAATAATTATATAAATCAATAATAATAGGTATTATTATTGTTATTATTACTATTATTAATATTATAAATATTATTAGTCATACCAATAATAATGGTAGNGGAGGGAACACCTGGAGGGGACACAAATCCACCTGCAGCAGGAAAAGGTGCAGCAAAAAAAAAAGGGATTTCAAGAGCAGCAACCCCACCTGCAGTGACCTGCTGGGGAAATGCCACCCTGGGGTGGGTGCCAGGCACCTGCAAAGGGACGCTGGCACCTCAAAGGGACACTGGCACCTGCAAAGGGACACTGGCACCTCAAAGGGACACTGGCACCCTGCAGCCCCCAGGTGGGGTTTGCCCCCTCCTCCAGCTGCAGGGTGATGCTCCCAAGGGCAATGGCTGTGGTTTAGTGCCAGCCTCAGCTCTGCATCCCAGAGCCACCAGCACAGGACTGGGCTCAGCTCTGCTGCAGCCAAAGCTCTGAAAGGCAAAAAATCAACTGAAAAGCAACTGCACTTTGGGGTGCTGGGAGGGGACACTCGATAAAAGTTCCTTGGAGGGGATTTTCACAATCCGGAGGAGCTGATGGGTTCTATTGTTTAGGCTGAGCAGAGGTTTTATCCCCAGAGTGTGGCTGGAACGGAGAGCACACAAAGGATATTCAGGGGATGGGGCTGTACATAATGCAGAGAGCTCAGAGCTGTGCCTGCCTGGGCTCTGTGGGGCTGAATTTCATGAGAATCACTGAGCCAGAGCTGCCCCTGGGGTTGTTTTCATCCTCTGAGACCCCAAAACCCCGTGGGTCATCGGGGCTGCTCTCCTTGTGCTGATGCTGGGTTAGTGCTGGCTCTGTTTTACCCAAACCCCCAGTTCAGGGCTGGGAGAGGAGACAGAAATGTGGAATTCTGGCAGCAGAAATGTGCAATTTCCCCTCAGTGTCCTGGCACTGGCACACCTCTGGGTGTTTGTGGGGACCTGCAGAGCTGTGGCATCACTCTGGGGCTCTCAGTGGGTTTGGGCTGTGTCACTATAGAACACCAAAGAACACAAACACACACCGCTGCTCTCAAGGTGAGGAAGAAAACGGAAGTTTATTTTCTGACTCCAACATTTATTGTTTTCCAAAAGTGACAGTGGATTGCAGGGTGACAGTGCCACCTCTCCAATGACACTGGACAAACCAACAGCCCATCAAATTTCTCTTCTTCCATAAAAGACTGCAAAACAATGAGTTATTTACATAAAGTACATGAAAAAGTTTGTTACAAGAATGTAAACATCAGAAGGCTTAGAAAATCTTAAAAGATCAGGGCGACAGGGTTGTCCTTTTCTTCACCCCAAAGATTCCTGACAGGGTTCTGCATTTTTTGGGGCACCACAGCAGAGGTTGTACTGGGGAAGGAGCTGCTCCTGCAGGCAGAGGCTGCTGCTCTGTCAGCTGGGATTGCTGCATTGCCCTGGCACAGAACGGAGCTCTCCCCTTGCAGCTCATCCCTCTGGGCAAAGCCCAGCTCCAGCAGTGGAAAAGCTGAGCTTCACAAAGCCTCAGCCTTCACACGGAGCCCTGGTGCTGCCAGCGCCCTGCAGCTCTGCTCCTGCAATGCCCAGGCAGCAAAAAATGTCCTTGGAGCTGGGCACAGCTGGGCCCCTGCAGGGATTTGGGATCTCAGGCTGCCAGCACCGAGCTGTGGTGGGTCTGAGATCAAACCCATAAAAAGAAGAATTTCACCTTTTCCATCCCTGCCAGCACCAAGCTGTGCCCAGCTCTTGTGGCTCTGAGATCAAACCCATAAAAAGGAGAATTTCACCTTTTCCATCCCTGCCAACACAGAGCTGTGCCTGGTTGTGGGTCTGATAGCAAAGCCATCCATAAACAACATAAAAAGCAGAATTTCACCTTTTCCATCCCAATATTTGGCTGTCACCATCAGAATCCTGTCACCTTGGNATGCTTTGGGTTTTAGAAGGGACCTTCAAGCTGATCCAGCTCCATGGGATGGGAAATCCACCCCAGCCCTGCCCAGCTGTGATCCAGCTGTGGAACGAGCCCTGGCCAGGGCAGGAGCACAGAGGATTTCTTGTGAGAGCTTCTCTGAGTGCCAGCCAGGTGAAAATCTCATCTCCCTGATATTAAACTTAACCTTTACGGGTCCACTTTAAACAGCTCTGGAATTACTCTGCTCTCCTTTAATCCTGGGAGGGCTTTTTGGAGAAGTCAATGTTTAATGCTTCACTCAGATTTAGTGGAGAGGGGAAAAGAGAGGAAAAAAAGAGGCAGCACTCAGAGAGTTTTCAGGGGGGTGCCTGCATTAATTTGGGCCTGGAGAACACTGGAACATTCTCTGGGTAATTCCCTTCCCAAACTTCTCACATCTCTTTCTTGGGGAGAATAAGATAGAAGTTTGCTGCTCCAGGCATAGAAAATATTCAAGGAAACAAAGCAGAACTGATAAAAGTCAGTACAGAATAATATGGAATAGTTGTGCCTTCTGTTCCCTCCACTTCAAGCCCCAAATATTCCCTTCCAAATCCTCTCCTGTGCCCCCCACACACAAATAATTGATCAAATCCTCCCCCAGTGGGACACGCTCAGGAAAAAAAAACGCAAACCATGAGAATTGGTCCCCTCTGAGTATCCTTGCAGTGTCCCCCTTGCACTCCCTGCACTTATCTTTAATTAACACTCCTAAATTCCCTTTTCTCTCCTTCCCAGACCAGTTAATAATTCTTAGATCTCATTAATGTTTTTATTTTTCCTCAGCAAATTCACATTTTCTTTCCCAGTCCGACTTTTTAACAAATAATGAGTCTAATTTATGCCTGTAAAAACGAGCTGACCTTCTCAGCTTTACATTGCAATTTAAAATAAAATAAAAAGGGAGGGGAGGAGTGCTGGAAAGCGACTCCAGAAGTGGCTGTACAAGAACTCCTTGGCCTCATCAATTCTTGGATTTTTTTTTTTTTTTGTGCAAATTGGCTGATTTTGGGAGTGGGAACAAAGCGTCCCTGCAGCAGCAGCAGCCCCACCATGAGTCAGCAGCAGCTGTCACCACGTCCCCACCTGGCCAAAGTCCCCACTCTGCCTTTGGAGGACGAGGCAGGAGCTGAGCACTGAGCAGGGATGGGTTTATTATTAGAGGAAGATGTTAAAAGTTGAAATCCCACACCTTTAAATAGCTGTGAGGTGAGCAGAGGGGAGGGTTGGGCCACTCCACCTGCACTGTCCTCGGCCAACCCTCGGTGCTGGGGCTGAGGGGGCTCTGCTGGGACTCTGCAGAGAAATAATCCCAGAAAACCTGGGGCTGCACCAGCTGCAGGGGCTGCAGGGGGGCTCTGCTGGGACTCTGCAGAGAAATAATCCCAGAAAACCTGGGGCTGCACCAGCTGCAGGGGCTGCAGGAGCTGCAGGAGCTGCAGGGGCTGGGAGTGATTTCTGATGGAGGTTTGAAGTGTGGAATAGCTCAGGGTGATGTAGAAGTGATTTTGAATTTTGTGTNATATATATTATTATAATTATATATATTATATATATATCTAATATATCTATGTTATATATTAGATATATTATATATTATATATGATTATATATTATATGTAATATATATATAATATATACTTATAATAATATATATTTATAATTATGGTTCTCTAGAGTGTGCTATTGATAGTTATTATATATATAATATTATAAAATATTATATAGAAATATATAATATAGAAATACTATATATTCTATTCTATTCTATTAATTATATAGAAATCGATAATATATACTCATATAATATAAAATAAATGTTATCTAAAGATTAATATTTTATATATAATATAATATAATATAATATAATATAATATAATATAATATAATATAATATAATATAATATAATATAATATAATATAATACAATATAATAGTTATGTAAAAATTAATATAAATATATATTAATATATAATAATAGAAATATATTGCATATATAGAAATATATATGTAATATATATTTACAGAAAGAGAGGTAATAATTGTTTGAATTTTTCCTTCTACATTTCTCACAGCTTCTCGCATTTTCCCAGGATTTTTTTTTTTCTGGGAAAACCTGTGCCTGCTCTGTGGATAGAGAGCTGGAATTTTGATCAAGGCCAACTTTCCTGAGCTGGAATTAACGGGCTGAGCACGAGGTGGAGGAGAGGAGCAGGAGCAGCATCCCTGCTCCAAGCAGCTCCCTCAGGGATGGATTATTTTGGTCCTCAGCTGCTCAATACCTTCATTAATGCCTGAGCTGATGATCCATGTCCTCTGCAGATGAAGGAAAGATTTGTGATGTTGCAAATAATGCAGTTATTGTTATAGCATCAGGCAAAGTGCCTGCTGAGGTGGCCGCCGTCCAACAAATCACAGCTGAAAGCATCCAGTGATTCTGGAATTGAGATTCCAGGCTCTGGAAAATCAGGATTTTGCCAGAGGTTGGCCTTGCTGTCCTGCTGGGCATTGTTTTATTGCTTTATTTAACACTCTGGAGCTCTGCTCAGCAAATAAACGCTGTTTAATGCTCAGAGTCTCCCTGCTCAACAAGGGATTTAATCACACCCTGGTTGGAAATCATCCTGCAGAGCTAATCCCAGTATAAACCAGTGCAATCAGAGCTCCCTGAGACTTCTTAATTCAGAATATTGGCAGCCTCTGGAAGAAGCAACACCGTCCACGGCTGGTTTTAGGGAATTTGATGTGAATTGAGTCAGCAGGAATCAACCTGGTGGCTCTGCAAGGAATGTTCCAGCAGCCACCTGGCCAGTGGCAAAATTGGTGTCTCTTACTGCTGATTTGTTGGTTTATAGAATAAAAAAAAAATTAAAAATAATTAAAAATAATCAAAAATGCAGCAATAAAAAGCTGTGAATGAAATAAGCGCAGGCTCCTTCTCTCTGGGCTGCAGCTCTGGGGTTCCAGAGCTGCTCAGACAAGGAAGGGCCATTTTTGGGCATGTTTTTAGGGTATCCAAGAAAGTGCCATTTTTTGGGTACATTTTTTTAGGATAACCAACAAATTGCCGTGTTTGGGATAGCCAAGGAAGTGCAAGTGCCATTTTTAGGGTAGCCAAGGAAGTGCAAGTGCAAATTTTTTGGGTACATTTTTAGGGTATCCAAGGCAGTTCCATTTTTGAGTAAATCTTTAGGGTAACCAAGGAAGTGCAAGTGCCATTTTTAGGGTAGCCAAGGAAGCGCCATTTTTTGGGGTACATTTTTAGAATAGCAAACAAACTTACACTTTTGGGTACGTTTTTCGGATAGCCAACAAACTGACATTTTTTGGGTAAATTTTTAGGGCAACCAAGGAAGTGCAAGTGCCATTTTTAGGGTAGCCAAGGAAGTGCCCTTTTTTTTTTTTTTGGTATCTTTATAGGATAACCAAGGAAGTGCCATTTTTTGGGGTACATTTTTAGGATAGCAAACAAACTGCCATTTATTTGGTACATATTTGGGATAGCCAAGGAAGTGCCATTTTTTGGGTATATTTTTAGGATAGCCAAGGAAGTGCAAGTGCCTTTTTTGGTACATTTTTGGGGTAACCAAGGAAGTGAAAGTGGCATTTTTTGAGTACATTTTTTAGATAGCCAAGAAGTGCCATTTTTTGGGTACATTTTTAGGATAGCCAAGGAAGTGACTTTTTTTGAGGTACATTTTTAGGGTATCTAACAAACTGCCATTTTTGGGTACATTTTTAGGATAGCCAAGGAAGTGCAAGTTGCATTTTTTGGGTACATCTTTAGGGTAACTAAGGAAGTGCAAGTGCCTTTTTTGGGTACATTTTTGGGGTATCCAAAGAAGTGAAACTGCCATTTTAGGGTACATTTTTGAGACAGCCAAGAAGTGCCATTTTTTTGGGTACATTTTTAGGGTATCCAACAAACTGCCATTTTTTGGGTACATTTTTAGGGTATCCAACAAACTGCCATTTTTTTGGGTACATTTTTAGGGTATCCAACAAACTGCCATTTTTTGGGTACATTTTTAGGGTATCCAACAAACTGCCATTTTTTTGGGTACATTTTTAGGGTATCCAACAAACTGCCATTTTTTGGGTACATTTTTAGGGTATCCAACAAACTGCCAATTTTTCGGTACATTTTTAGGGTATCCAACAAACTGCCATTTTTTGGGTACATTTTTAGGGTATCCAACAAACTGCCAATTTTTCGGTACATTTTTAGGGTATCCAACAAACTGCCATTTTTTGGGTACATTTTTAGGGTATCCAACAAACTGCCATTTTTTTGGGTCCATTTTTGGGATAGCCAAGGCAGGAAGGGCAGGGAGAGGGGCAGAGAGCCCAGGTGAAGGCAGAGCCGAGCTCTCCTGGTGCTGGGGACACCTTGGGGACTGTCCCTGCCCTGTCCCTCTGGGACACAACCAGAGGGTGAATAACTCAAAAATTAACCCCCACTCTTCCCTGAGGGGTTCAGCTGTCACTGCTGATCCCTCCAAGAGCCACAATTTCCCCTCCAAACTCCTTTTTTCCCCCCTTTTTTTTCTCCTCTAAGCAGGAGCTGGTGGCGTTCACCTCGTTAAAAAGCCATTATGCTGTAAAACAACCTCTGTGTTAATAATTTTATGAATTTAAAATGCCAGAGCCAGAGTCATAAACCCTCCTGGTGGGCTGTGAGGAGCTCGGAGCCCTTTCCCTGCCGTGCCACGAGGATGAGGCTTCTCCCCAGCCCCTTCCTCCCTCCTGAGCCCTGGAACTCGTATTTTACACCAAGTACCTGCTTGAAAAGGTCACTGGCTGATGTTATTCATGGAAGGGGGGAGAAGGAGGAGGGAAAAGAGATCTCCCAGCTTTTTTTGCTGTGGAAATTCCTCTCAGTTCTGCCCGAGGGGGCTTTGGCACCTCCTGGGAGGAAGAGGAGGAGTGAGGTGTTCATGCAGTGTTGGGGAAAAGGTGATTTCAAAGTCAGCCTTGCAGGAAATCTGAATTTCCAACAGGTTCCAGCGTGTTTGGATTTGTAGGGATCTCCGGGGTGAGTGGTGGAGTGCTCTGGACAATTGCAGAGTTATTTAGTGCTTCTTAATGCTCGCCTTAAATTAATCCTGAGCTAGAGTAAATCAGGCTCTGCCTGGGAGATCCAGACAAAACCCATGAGAAAGAATTTAACTAATTTTTTAAATTGCCCAGTTTTAACTGGAGGCACTGAGGGACACATTTCAAATAAAATATAAAATATAAAATATAGAATATAAAATATAAAATATAAAATATAAAATATAAAATATAAAATAAAATATAAAAATAAAAATATAATATAAAATATAAAATATAAAATATAAAATATAATATAAAAATATAATATAAAATATTAAATATAATATAGAATAAAATATAAAATAAAATAAAATATTAAATAAAATAAAAAATTTAAAATAACTAAAATAAAATAAAATATTAAAACACAATAAAAAATAAAATAAAAGTTAAATAAAATATAAAAAATAAAAATAAAATAAAACCAAATAAAACCAAAAAAATAAAATATTAAAAATAAAATAAAATAATAAATTCTGTCCTCCTTCCAGCCTGACTTGCTTCAGCTCTAAGCCCCCAGTTTTTGTTCTGCCTTTGGCAGATTAGAGAGACCTTTACTGGCTCAGGGTGGGTTAGAAAGACCAACAGAGCCCTTTGTTCTGTCAATAGGCAAATAAAGCCTGGCTTTGGTGTGAAGTTCAGCTTCTCTAAGGCTGGGACTTTCTGCTCTGCAGGTGGCTCTGCTCTGCCCTTCCCTCCACGCTGGTATTTATAAACCCCAGGGCTCTCTCTGTCCTGGTTTGGGGTTTAAGGGTGGAATTCTGCAGCTAATATTTACCCAGATAAATTTTTCTCTGAATTCTCTCACCCATGAGAAATGTTTGGGTGCTTGGGGGTTGGGAGTGTCCTGGCAGTTGCTCATCCCTTAAAAAGGAATTTCATGGAGGGTTTTAGAGCAGGCTGGGGGGTCACAGCACCATTCCCTGCCCTGGTGCCTCCTGCAGCCCTGAATGCTCACTCAGGTGCTTTTTGTTGTCATCTCCCTCCTCCTGGATTTCACCCCAAAACTCCAATTTGCTGGAAGAGTGTGACAGTGTTCACAGGGGTTCCTGGACGAGGGAAGAGATGAGGATCTGACTCCATGTTTCAGAAGCCTGATTTATTATCTTATTACATATATTACATTAAAACTATACTAAAAGAATAAAAGAAAAGGATCTCATCAGAAGGCTGGCTAAGAATAGAAAAAGAAAGAATGAAAAAAAAAGGTTGGGGCCCAAGCAAAAGCCCAACCAACCGGACTGTGATTGGCCATTAATTAGAAACAACCACATGAGACCAATCCCAGATGCACCTGTTGCATTCCACAGCAGCAGATAACCATTGTTTACATTTTGTTCCTGAGGCCTCCCAGCTTCTCAAGAGGAAAAAATCCTAAAGAAAAGATTCTTTATAAAAGTTGTCTGCGACAGAAGAGCAGGAGAGAGGGGCAGGAGCCACCTCACAGAGGACACCAGAAAACCCCAAAAATCCTGTCTGTGTTGAGCCCAGGCTGTTTCATTGCCAGGAGCAGCTCGGAGGGTGAGGAGGGAGATGAGATGTGAAGGCTCAGATGGCTCCTGCTCAGGAGAATTCCCATTCCTGCCACCCCCTGTGACATCCAGATGACAATCAGCAGCGTGTGACACTCACCCTGATGGATGATGGAGCATCAGGGCGGGCAGGCAGGGAATAAAAACCAGAGACCAGGTAGGGATGGTGTTCAGTGACAAATATTGAGTGTTCTGTAGTCAGCAGTGCTGTCCTGCAGCTCCAGCCCCCCTGGCTGCTCTGGGTGCTGACAGGAATTAAAGGCCAGGCTGTGAACACAGAGGAGGATTTGTTGATTTGCTGTTTTTCCCTTTTTTTATGTGGATGCTTTCAATTTGATGGGCAGCCTGAGAGCCTGCCGTGCTCTGTGTGCTCATCCCTGCCTCTCTCCAGCTCAGGGCATTCCTGTGAATGGATTCTTGTGACAAAATTCCCCCTCCTAAGCTCAATCAGACACAATATTTTTCAATCTCAGAGTTATTTAGACTTTATGTGTCCTCTGCAAGACACAGAAATGCTCAGAATGAGGTTGAATGGCTCAAGGGCTGAGGGAAGGGGAGGTAAATAATTCCTGTGTTTGATCCAGAGCTGGCTTTGTCCCTGTTTGTCAGCTGTGATCGATGTCACCCGCTGGTCTCTATTGTTATTCTGTTGTTGCTTGTCACACTCACACCTTCCTTTGAATCCTGCTCTTGTCTCTTTTCCCTCTTTTTTCCCCCTCTCCTGACACCGGGCTTGTGAGTAATTTACCTATGACAACAGGAGACTAATTCTGTTGTTCTGTCAGGGGGAAATTGAATCTGGGGCTTGGGAGCTGGGAGAAATCTTCAAATGGATCTGGAGCAGGAAAACTCCGTGTTCAATTCTCCGGCTTGTCACTGCTGCCTGCCAGATGAAGTCATTATGAAGGGCAGGGAGGAGGAGGAATGAGGGGAAAAAACCCCAC